GCTGCTGCTGCTGCTGCTACTGCTACTGCTACTGCTACTGCTGCTACAGCTACAGCTACAGCTACGGCTACTGCTACTGCTACTGCTACTGCTACTGCTACTGCTACTGCTACTGCTACTGCTACTGCTACTGCTCCGGCTACTACTGCTACTACTACTGTTACTACTACTACTACTACTACGACGACGACGACGACGACGACTACTACGACGAATACGAGTACTACGACGAATACCAGTACCAATATGATTACTGCCACCTACCAATGCTAACACGGAAACTAACACCAATACTCATATTCATACGAAGAATAAACTAACACTAATACTAATTCTAATACGAGTACTAAAATTAAAACTAATATTAAGGCTACTAATACTAGAACAAAACTAAGACGAAGACTAGTACGAATGCGACGTGAAAACGGTATTAATATACGAATACTAATACGAGAACCAAGACTAAGATTAATACCAATGCGAACACGTTGTTCGAACAGCGGGGGTCGAACAACAAGGGGGTCGAGGGGTCTCCCTTCTGCGAAGGGGTTGTTGTTCCCGAAACAAACGAACAGCAACGCCCCCACCCGTCTATCGGAACGGTATGCGACACATGTGGTTTACCCCAGCCACTCTTTGTCGAAGGGTTGGATCGTCCTCGTTCGGCCCGGTCCTAAAGGCGGCTCGATCTAATTGAAGCTCCCCTCGCAGCACTTTTCAAGAGGCTTCCATGCTGAATCTGTCTTGCCCCCGAGATCTTTTCGCGGGGTTGCCCTCGGCCGATGTACTGGTGTGGGGGCTAGCTTCCAAAGCTTGCTGTGAAGACGGCGCTTGCGTAGCTTGGCTGTTCTGACTTGGGTAGAACCCACCCGGGTTGCCCACTTCCATGGAAGTATGCATTCTCAAGCGGGATGACACTATCACGATCAAGTAGTAGAGCTCTGGCACGCTGGAGGTAAAACTCGCAGGCGCGAAGCAAGGCGAAATACCCATTAAGTAGGCTTTAAGTAGGGTCGCTGAATGCGGTCGCAAAGTTACATAATGTCAAGCTCCCCGACGTCCCGGACAGCTGCGGTCACCAGGTCCGTGGCAAGGGCGATGGGCAGGAAGCTCTCACAGGAGCCGAACAATTATTTCGGCAATCGCGGCAGAAGAGCGGAAAGGCAAAGGGGAAGAGTCAAGCGGCCGGGTTGAGAGCCCCCGAGCCCGTGTATCAGAGGAGGGCAAGGAGCGAGGGGCGGAGACTCGGGTGGCTCTTGAACCGCTCGCGACTTGAGCCGAAGAAGCCACTACAATTCCCCTCTATCTCTTTCTTGCTTGCTTGCCTGCTTGCGAGGGGTTTGAGGGGGAAGGACCCCCCCTGACCCGAAGGCGTACCCCACTCCGCGCACGTCTGTGCGTCTCCGAAGCCCTTCCGGGGTGAACTCTCTCGCTCTCTCTCTTTCTTTCCATAGGGCTGTGGTGGGGAGTTGCCTCCCCACCGCGCGCGAGTGCGCCCCCACCTGTTGTGGGTGCCAAAGGCTCATTTAGCATGCACCACCAATGGAGTGCTCGCTCAAAAAGGACAGGCACAACACTAGGGAACACGGCCCACAACTACACAACGAGCACGTGCCATACGAATGATGCATCGATGGCTGCATGAGCGAGCATGGCCTCGACATTGGGTAGCTACCGAGTCAACGGGGCTCAAAGGGTGGTGGCCCCCCTGGTGGCAGTAAGCAAGCATAGAACGGAGCAGTAAAGCTACCTCTATGTCGTCAACACGAAGCTCAAGTCACAGCCAAGGGGGGCAGCCCCGAGCAAATCCTGATCAAGTAGGAGCCTGCGTTCTGGGGTCAACCCCTTGCTTCACCTGGCGAGGCCTACTTCGAAACTAGAGTCCCAGCAGCCTAGGGTTTACTCCCCCGGAGAGGGCTCAAGCTCGGCACCGGCCAGCAAGGGTAACACTCAAAACACACTCAAGGATAGTAGACAAGGATGGGAATCACAATACGGAATCTGTGCCAAAGTGTCGCCCTGGTTTCACTAGGGCAGGGTTACAAGGTGTAGGAGGCCCGGCCACGGCGCACAAGGGAAGGACAATAAACAATACACGCTCTGAGTCGCAACAATAAGCATCACAGTACGGAACACTTTGCGCACCCCAACTTGCAGCAGAGCTACTGTGGCAAAGAAAAGAACAAGACCCTATGCAAACCAAGGCAGTGCCATTCCGGACCACAAATCCTGCTTATCAATATCCCTGCTGCTACCTCGTGAGCTAGGGCTGCGAAAGCGGCTACGGGCAACTCAGGGTTCAGTTGAGCTTGTCGTACGAAATCAGTCCTCTGCGTCTGGGTCGCTGTCGTCCGTGTCCGGCGCGAAGGCGGCATGCATGCGTCGGCGGCGGTGGCTTTCCCGTCGTTGACCAGCTCGACTGTGTCTGCTCAGGGGTCGCCCCCGCTCCTCCCTCGCACATGGGCTTCGGGAGGCCTGATCACGTCCCTGATTGGATGCCAGGGGTGTGACCCCGAGGAGGACTGTGCCGGCGTCGGAGGCTGCATCGGCAAACTGGCTCACCGTGTGCTCCTCCATATAGTAGCTGGCACGTCCGGCACGACAAAAGTGGGCGTCCCCCAGACTGCGGACGTCCACGCGAAGACGCCGTCTGCTGGTCCAAAAAGGGAAGAACCTTCTCGAGCAACTTTTGGGCTTGCAGGACCGGCTCCGCTCCGCCGGGTCCCGCGGGAGGGCTTTGCGGCCGTGGCCTAGCAGCTCCTTCGTCTTGGAATTGCATGGCCTGCGCGCTGCCACTGGCCCTTTCCTCCAGCTTCCGCTTCTTGGGAGATGGGCTCCCCCGCACGACGTCACCCGTGAACTTGGTGCTTAGCCACTCCAAGAGGTGCTGCATAGAGGCGTTTCCCCTTTGGACGGCCTGTAGTACTGCTTGAAGAGCTTCACTGGTTTGGAGGATAGACCCCTCCTCGACTGCCAGCTGCGCCCACGTAAGCGACTGAAGTGCATTTTTCAAGCTGGAGATACCAGCTTCGCTGCTTGGCGCTCTGGGGTCACGCCCCCAGCTAGCCATCATGGCTTTCGCATCTTGGACCAAACCATCTAAGCGAAGGAGCTCTTTACGAAGGTGCCGGTTCGGAAGCTCATGGTGGTGCTCCCCCAGGTGCATCAGGGTGGCCTCTGTCTCCAGGAGGGGATTCTGGACTCTGAAGACGACGGTGGCAGGGTCAATCACCTGTTCAGCGTTGTCGGGAAGTGGCGAGGGGCAGTTCCCTGCGGAGAGACCCAGAGTGACTTGTTCGGAGGCTTCGCGCTGTCTTGCCTCCTGTAGGGTCTCCAGCTTGCCCACATAGTGACAGGCTTTGTACGCGAGGATAGTAACTGTTTCGCTGGTCTGCTGAAAAGAAGCTTCGAGCAGGTTGTGGAGAGTGTCGCGCAGCAGGTTGAGGACATTACCAACCGTATACTCCATGATTGCCTCGTGCTCGGGTACCAGAGGTTCTCCCCTTCTATACGGCCGAGTTGTCAGGTCGCGTTGGGTCACCGGAGGTGGAGGAGGGCTCTCCTCGTGGTTGTAGATGTCGCTGCATAAAGGAGGCCTCGTCCCCGAAAAGCCAGGGCAGCTATAGATGGGCGGATTCGACATGGGGCCCGTTGCCTTGACCGTCCGAGCTGGGCCATTTCGGACTCGGAGAGGTCCGCAGTGTGCTGTGGGGGCTGCGGCGGTCTGGCCTTGGGGGCTGGTTCGGGCCGTTTTGTGCCGGCTGCCATGCCAGGTGCGGGTCGGCTTTGTTGCTGAGTCGGTGGCGTGTTGTGGTGGGCAGGCTCGGCGTTCGGGGAAGCGCCCCCGTGAGGTGGTACTGGCGGCTGGTTGGCTTGGCGCCGGGCTCCTTGGCTCTGCGGCACCGTCGGGCTGGGCTGCCTCGGTTGCTGCTGTCTTCGGGGGCCTGTGGGATGTCTGCGTTCTGGGGGCGTTGGTGGCCTTGGCTCGGGGTCCGGAAGGATAACGGAGAAACCTCCGACACGACTGACGTCGTCATCAAAGCGCGCCCTTCTGACCCATCGCTGCTCTTCGCCACGCCACTCGATCCAGAAAGTGGATCCTGCGGGGAGGGGTATTTCCCCTGCGCGGAACTGCTCTGGGCGGATGGTAAGGGATGTAGTCGGGGCCAGGGTGACGTCTCCTGGGGACATGCCCCAAAGGGTGTTGAAAATGACGACTGTCGGCTCCATATCGTGCCGTCTGGGATGGCGAATTGGAGTGCTGTCACTCGGCGTCCACACCGAGCCTCGCCACGAGCCTGACCCCTCTACCCCTCTCCCCCTCTCCCTCTCTCTCTCCCTCTCTCCCTCTCTCCCTCTCTCCCTCTCTCCCTCTCTCCCTCTCTCCCGCTCTCCCGCTCTCCCGCTCTACCGCTCTATACCGCTCTACCGCTCTACCGCTCTACCGCTCTCCCGCTCTCCCCCTCTCCCCCTCTCCCC